TTGGTGTGAGATTTGTGTGTTTATTTCTTGACCCTATGATGTAACCCAAGAGATGAGCATGGAGAAGAGGGATGGGAAGGTGTTGCTTTGAGGTGTGACATGTAGTGTCCAAGTGATACCGATGTGGGGTAAGGGAAGAACCATGCTCAGGCTTTGTGGCACATCCCAAGTAAGGGACAAGGTACTGAGGGTGTGGGGACAGGACAGATGGGCACAGGTGGCAGGGTCAGGATGACAGAGAGGATGGTGTTGGTCTTCATGCAGATCTTGCAACTCCCAGGTTGGACCAGCCAGCCACGGTAGAGTAAACTTGGTAGAAGGGGCAGTGCCTGGATTCTTGGGGGTAATGGGGAGGGATCAGGGATTGTTGTAGAGGTAACAGGGCTCTCTCCCTCACCACCTCTCTGTAATTGTGACTTTTTTGGTGTTCTAGGTGAGAGATCAAGGAGTGCCAAAAGTAGCAGACAAAGAGGAAGTTAAAGAGAGAGAGGCGGCTCGATGGATGCTTTTATGTAATAATTTATTGACATAGGTAAGGGTGTCTCTTGGTGCTGGGGAGAGATGGAGGTCATGGTCTGAAATATGCCCTCCCTCCCCCTGGATGTAGCAGCTGAGGTCCTTGTCCTTAGGCACAGGTTGGGCATTGCTGAGGGCCATGGAGAAACATCCCTCTCAAGCCAGGAAGGGGAGATGGAGAGAATCCCATGGCCAGAGAGGGGCTGCATCACCTCTCCGTGCTCTGTGATGGGGACAATGCAGATGAGGCATCAGGATGTGCTGTGAGCAGGAGCGTTTGGGCAGCTGTAGGTATTCACTGCAGTGGAGGCAGGTCCAGCACTGGGTATCCAGCAGAACTGGCGTGGGAAGATGGGAAGCATTAGGGAGGCTTGGATTGTGGTAGGATCCCCAGGGGCCACATGCAAGGGGTGAGTGGTGCTTTGTGCCACCTGTAGCTACATCAAATCAGCCCTGGCTCCCTGATGGGTTGGGGTTTTTCTAAGAGGCTCAAAGCAGAGTGGCTCCCATGGAGGTCACTAATGCTTGATTCACTGCAGGTGACATTGAGGAAAGTGGGTGAGGTGTCACATCCCTCCCAGATCCCTTCCCTCAGGAGGTTGTTGGGTTTTGGGAAGCACTTACCTTTCTGCTGGGGTCACTCGAGGGGGACAGCAGGGTGTCCCTGATATTCAAGGTCACAGCAGCTCATAGCAGTGCTGGGATGGAGCTGTTTTCTTGTTGTGGGGTTCAGGGAAAGAACTCTTGAGACTGAGCTTTTCATTCCCACGTTGGGGAAGACGAAGGGAGGTCTCAAAGTGAGCAATACTCTGGTGGGTCTGTCACAGTCCCACTGCCCCCAGTCTCCTGGCAGCAGATCTCACATTAGAGGAGTGTTTCAAATGTTGATGGAGTGTCCTGGTTGATGGTGTGGAAAGTTGAGGCATCCCCTGGGAGCAGAGGGCACAGTCTGCTGTGAGATTACAGCCGTGTCAGGGAGATGCTGAGGGTCATGGTTCTTCTGCTCCTGGTCCTCAAGGTTTTTGTCCTTTGATGAAGACATTTGTTTTGTGTCACACACTGCCAGATCACGATAGGAGCAAACCTCGGGAGTGCATTGTCTGCAGAGACATCCCTTCACAGGGGCAGGTTTAGTTGTCAGAGTTAGTATTGTTGCAAGATGATGGAGGAGACGCTGGGAATGTCTCAGTTGTGGAAAACAGGCCCCTGATCATGCTGCTTCCACTGAACATAGGTGAGTGACAAGAGCAAAGACAGTCCTTACCCTGCAGGGACTCCATCGACAGATGCGTGCTCATTGCTCCTTGGCAGACAGAGGTGGGCAGGACCCAGGACTCACTGGTGGACTCCCAGGGGAGATGCATGGATGGGGTGAAGGATGGCCCAAACAGCAGCAGGCCCCCTGCTGTGGGGCTTGAAGCATCACTATCACAGGGGACAATCAAAACAGGGTCCAACCAAGTGCTGGGTGAGATCCCAGGAGTGGCAGAGGTCCCAGGCACTCAGGAGCCCTCCCAGCTCAGCTCAGCAGGTGCCCAGCACCGCGTCCCTTCCCTGGGGTGCGCGGGACCCGTGAAGCAAAGCCCCGAAGGTACAAAGTTCGTCAAACTTTATTGATACACTGCACAATCACAACCATCTCTTATTCTTGCCGAATTAGAAAAGGTTACAACTACAATGTAACATGCACAAATCTCAGGTAGTATAGCCACCCTTGGAATACAATGATCGACAGAAACTCAAGACCGGCCATCACGGCCGTCAGCAGGAGAGACCCGAGAGCCACACTGCCCCCGCCCTGGGCACCCAGCCACCCCCTGGGCATCCAGACGTGGAGAGCAGTGGTCACAAATGGGTCTGCCACCCGGCAGAGCCGTGCTGGGGCCGGCGTCAGACAGCCAACACGTTCCTCACAATGGCACGTTACATGGCACGAGAAAGTCGAATGCCATCCCGGCAGGGGACAGGGGAGCCCACCCGACCCAGGGACAAGGATGGGATGGGGGCAGCCCTGGCACCAGGCCCGCCAGCCTCAGTGTGCGTCGTGGCATCTCGTCGCCGCCACTCTCTGATTTGCTGTGGCCTCTGGCCCTGTGATTCTGCAGCGTTTCTGCTGTGGGGACAGAAATTCGGGGCTGACCAAGGAAAGGGCATGGGGTGGCAGCAGGGGACTGTTGAGGGGCAGTGCGGACCAGCAAAGGCATCAGGGCAAGATGTGCCCTGCACCCATGGTACTTTTGGAGCAGATGTGTGGAAGGATGTGAGTGTTGCCGTGCTGGCTGAAGACAGTGCCATCCCCAGCCAATAAACATGCCCGGGGCCATGGGATAAGACCCAGATTGCTGACGGTGCCACCCTTCTTGGATGCCAGTGGAGAAGCAGAGCAGCACCGCAGGGACCGCAGGACGCGGACTCACCCAGTCAGTGCCGGATCCCCGTCCACCAGGTAAGCCAGCGCCTCAGGCCAGCACTGGGACAGCCCCTGCCCCGGGCCAGGCGGTTTTTGTCAATCAGCCACGGTACACGTTGAACATCCAGGATGCAGGGGCAGCAGCATCCACTGAGATTTTGTAGCAGGTCCTGGGCAGCCCACTGAGAACAGGGATGAGGACGGGCATAGCTGCATAGAGGACAGGGTGGTGGCCCATCATGGCCTCTGGCTCAGGGTGGTTTTTTCCATCTTGTGTGCTGAGGGCTGGCACCCCAGCTTCCTTGCAGCCACAGAAAGCAGGTTTGGGCAGCAGCAGAGTTTGCACGGGGAAGACAGCATGTGTGTGGTCGTTGCTCTTAAGTCATCTCACTTATGGAGGGAGAAGGAAGGGACAAGGCACGGGGAGGCGCCGGGTCAGGACAGGGGACACTCTGTGTGCTTGCTCAGTGCTTTGCTGGAGTTGAGTCTCCCTGTCACAGCAACAGGGTCCAGTGCCACACGTGACTTTCCAGGAGCAGAATGGGAGTGTCCATCCCCAGACTGTGGCCCCAAAGCATCCCTGGGTGGCCATGGAGTGACAAGAAGGCTCAGGGCTGCCACAATGTAACAGGCAAGGGGGTCCATGGTACACAAGGCTATCAGGAGCACAATTCCGTATGCGGGGAGATGACATGGGTGGCAGGGTGGCAGCTCCCAGGGTGACTGGAAGAAGCAGAGAGGGCAGAGTCTGGGTGTGTATGTTTTGGTGTCGCAGGCAAGTTGCAGCAGGGAGCATTGGAGCAATCCTTGTCCCTGCTGTGCCAGCACAGCAAATCAACAGAACCCAGTCCTCCTCCACAGGGTCAGACACATCAGATTTTCCTTAGGCAGGGGCACATGATGGGCATAAGACAAGGCAAAGTGAGGACATTGCAGCTCAGGGCCCTCTGAGGGGCAAAGATACAGACGGTCATGAGTGTCAGAGCCGTAGCAAAAGGGCCTTGTCAGCTGGTGTTTTGATCTGTCAGTCAAAGCCTCTGCCCCACACTGTGATGCTGTGCTTTTGATGTGCAGCTTGGAAAGTGCTTGGAGAACAAGCCCAGAGAAACCTCCCCAAAAGTGCTGGCAGAGCATCAAGGTGAGAGCCATGGGGCAGCCCCTGCCATCAGGGGGGCAGCAGCAGAGTGGGCAGGGATCTGGAGCAAGGAGTGAGGGCCTGGCTGCCCAATGCAGCAAGAAGGCTCTAGTCTCTAGGAGGGCTGGTGGCAGTCCCCAGGGCTCACGTTCCTGGGAGAGCAGCCTCGTGTCCTCAGGAAGGTGAGGGGGTTTTAGTGGGAAGCACAGGGGTACGATGTCAGCTGGAATAAAGAGCAGTGGGAAGTGCGTGACCCTTGAAGGACAACTGGTTGTGTCCGGTGACCCTCTCCCAAAGGGCCAGAGAGTATCCTGTCAGGAGCAGAGGCAGGTGATGGGGGGCTGGCGACATCGGGGTGCTTAGGGAGGAGCTTTGGCGACGAGAACTGACATTCAGGACCAAGAGGGCTGAAGGCAGAGCCAGGAGGCTTCAACCTTGGGGTCTTTTTGGGCATAGGCGGCTTAGTGAGACGACGAGACGGACATCCCGGTGAAGGCTCTGGGCGGCACCCGCCCCGACGGCTCCATGCCCCCGGCTTCGGAGATGAGGCAGCCACGGGGGGCACCGTCTGTGCCGGGCCACATCCCCGGGGCGATGGTGGCGGGTGACAGTCTGGTGGCACGTGGTGGGGTCTGTACAGCGTAACCGGCGGCGAGAACGATCCCGGCACGTGGGAGACGGGGCCATCCTCGGACGCTCGGCACCGCCGCCCGTCCTCCGGTGCATCGCCCGTCCGATGGAGAGGAGTCCCCAGGCGGCACGGCGGCCGAGCCCGCGGCGGGGGAGAGATGCGGCGAGGCCTCCCGGGACCCTCCGCTCCCTTATCAAAAGTCGAGGAGGAGGCGAGCGAGGAGGGTGGCCCAGAGGCAGAGGCCGGCAGCCACCCGGGACGCCGCATTGCCGCCGTCATGCACCGCTCCGGGCCCTGTTCGGAGGAGAGAAGAGAGAGAAAGGACAGCGTTAGGGCCAGCGCTGAGATGATGTGAGAGAGCCAAGAGAGCCCACCTCCCCATTGTCCCTACAGTTCACATCCCACCCCTCAGCTGGCCAGGGTTCTGTGTTCCCCCTTGGAGAGGTGATAGATTTATCCATCATTTGGAGAGCATTGCCGGTGCTGAGGAGGAGGTGAGGAGATTTGCAAAGAGGAACACAGAGGAGACACAGTCCTTGTCTGAGGAGGAGGAGGATGCCCTGGCCAGTCCAGCCCCACCATGCTTGGAAGTCTCCTTGGAGAGTCCTGATGCAAACAACCACGTGGAAACCACCGGGACCAGAGACCTTGGTGCTCCAGAGTGGCACAGCTTGTGACTGCTAACAAAGGATGGTCAGCTCAGGAAATGGCATTGTCCAGACGTGGATTCTCAGGTATGCAGGAGCATTCTGGGGCTGCTGGGGTGGTTCTTGGCAGGCAGGTCAGGCAGGGAGGAGGCTGGGTACACCACTGGAGTGGAGATTCGTTGCTTTTTTGTTGTGTTAGGGCTGTTATTCAGGCTGCAGGGCACACAGGGGGCCAGTCAGGATGGGATGAGACAGTTGGGCTGTGAGGGAAGCAGAGGCAGTCACCACACACTCTACCACAGGGACATGGGTCTGTTCTGCACTCCTTTGGCCATGGAGAGGCAATTAGGGAAGTCACAGATCTGAGTCCCAGTCTTGGCATTCTGAGAAGGAAGAAATAGAGAAAGAAGTGCTCAGCTGTCTTAGTATCAAAACTCAGGGCATGGATGAAGTGTGAAGTCAATGGGATTCTTATGCATTTGTGAATAGGCTGTCATGGGTTCATCATAGAATCCCAGAGTGGTTTGGGTTGGAAAACCATCTTGTTCCACCCCCTGTCAGGGGCCAGGAACCCTTCCATTGTCTCAGGTTGCTTCAAGCCCTGTCCAACCTGTCCTTGGACACTTCCAGGGATGGAGCAGCCTCAGCTTCTCTGGGCAACCTGTGCCAGGCCCTCACCACTCTCTAAGTAATTTTTTTCCCAGTATCTAGTCTAAGCTGATCCTCTTTCAGTTTAAATCCATTCCCCCTTGTCCATGCCCTTATAAAAAGTGCTTCCCCAGCTCTCCTGTAGCCCCTTCCAACCCAAATCATTCTGTGATTCTATGAAATCATACCCAGTTATAATAATTTCCTCAGGATGGTGTTATTCCTTGTCTTCTTATCTACTGATTTTTTTGTGAACATTTATCTTAATTCAGGAAGAGGCAAAGGAGAGTTTGAGATGTTAAATCCAAGCGCTGCCAGAAGGTGAAGGAAATGATAGGAAGATTGAGTGATGAGCAAGAAGCTGTGTCATGCCCATGCTCAAACAAAATTGATTATAAGAGCACACGATCATCCAAGAGGGGTAGAACAGCTATGCCATAATCAGACATTTCCTTGCTGAACAGACCTTCTGATATGAAAGGTGGAAACCCACATTTCTTAGGGGCAGGTAGAATGGAAAGAGCTCCTTAACTTGGTTTTTCTCAGACCTGCTACTGCTCCCTCTTCTTTGGTTTTGACCCCCCCAAACCAATGGCAGCAGCTCAGAACATCATCCAAAACCATAAAAACAGTGAGAATTTCTGCAGATTTAATACCAAATGCTGATTAGCTTAAACTTTTATGTATTTACACCTGCCCAAATACTGCTAAATTGGTGCCTTTCTCTAGTATCTCTATAGATGTGGATTTTAATGTGTGACTAATTCTTATCTCTATTTTCTAGTTCACAGTTCTGCACTGGTTATTGGCTTTGATTTAATGACACTTTTAGAAATTTCATAATCTATCCTAAAGCAATTTCATTGTGGTTGAGTTGGAGAGTTCCCAAATAGATAAGTCACCTAATACAGAGAGGAAATAAAACTAAAAATGCTGGGTCATTACTAGAAAAAAAATAAATATTTTCTCCTGAATTTATTCTTTATTCTTTTCTGTGGAAGAATATATTCTGCTATCAGACAGCTTGGCCTTGTAAAGATTGTAAAGATACTCTACAGAAGAGACAAGAATAAAGATACAGGGAGAAAATAAAGTAGTAATTAGATATGATCACAAAATCAGGGCAGATGGCTCATTGCATCCCAGGCTGCTTGTGACTCCTGTGTGTTCTCTGAACTGTCACTCTCTATGGGAAAAGGAAGCTCCCACTGGGACAGGGAGTGAACTCAGCTGAGGCTCCCTAGCCCTGTCAACCCAGCAAATATTTTGGCTCTGCTTTACTCAAAGCCCAGTGCCTGGGCATTGAGGTGTGAGTGCACCTGGACTCTGGCTGCCCCTACTCAGATTATTTATTATTGCAGTTATTTATTATTGCTTGCTTTTAGTTTTCCTCCTCTTGATTTATTTTGTGTCCACTTTTCTGGCTATTTCCTTCCTTTCCTGGCTATCTCCTTCCTTGTCCATGAGGCAACCTTAGATTTTCTGGGACCTTGCTTTGAGTACAGATGGCAAGGTTGGGATTTTGTTTCTCTCCTAAGATCTTGAATACAAAGGTCAGAAGAAATCAGTGAGTTTATGGTGAATGGGTTTTCTTAGCCTGTGTTGGAGGCACTCTCACTCCAGTGTGAGCCATGGGAATAGCACAGATGTTTACAGAGCTAAGCAGTCCCTTCACATGCACCAAAAAATTGCTTTTCCTTTTTTTTCCTGCCTTCTTTCTGTCCAGAACAGAAGTCCTATGCCTTCCACTTCACTCCTCCCAGTTTGTTGCAATGTTCACCCTTCTCCAGGTGAGATACAGACACGTGGAGATGAAGAATTCAGAATGTGTCTCTTGCTGCCTTTCATTTTCAGGACTCAGGAGAAACGGGAAAGGAACATGCAATGCCCAGGGTGCTGCTGGAGCCTCTCTTTCCTAGAGGGCTCAGGAAAGGACAACAGCTGCTCTCCAATTCTCATGGAGCACACCAGCAGCCAATGGGGAAAGTCTGTCCAGTTCTTCATGGCTGAGGAAGTCCTGGGGACCTGATGGGAGGAAGGCTGTGCAGTGACTCATGTCTGAGAGCAGAAGCATCTAGAGTAAGTCTTGCCAACCTCCCCAGGATGAGATTTTTCCTGATATTTTCCCTCAGGTAACTGCATGGTCCCTCAAGGCCTGTCCCTGCTCATTGAAGTGGGGTTGGACTAAAAAGTCCCTTCCAACTCCAATTATGATTCTAAGAAGACTCCAACAGGGATGTTCACCCCTGTGACTGAACAGCCACCCAGGGCAGAGCAAGGAAGAAAAAGCACTGGCTTCTTGCACATGAAAAGGAGGCACAAGTTGAGCAGGACCTTAGGCTGGCCACAAACACAGAGCCTGGAACACTGTGGTAAAGTGAGCAATGGCTGTAGGTAAGCATTTATAGAATAGTATAATATATGGATTATTTATAGCATCTAATGGCAAAGTCAGCAATTGTCATTTCATGAAATAGCTAAAAGAAAACCCAGAGTAAGTACCAAACACAGGAAGACAACTGCACCTGTGAAATACAGGGACCAAGTGGAAATAAAAGTGTGAAAGAGAAGAAAACCCACCAAAGTGTGAAAGAGAAGCTAAGAGGTGAAGGCAAAGTAACCCCACAGGATAACAGGGAATGTGCTGGGAGAAACTCTACAAAACAAAACAATTCAGTGAAAAAGAGGTGAAATTTTCCCTCATCCCTTCACAGGAAGATGGAGAACATTGATAAATACTGAGGAAAAAGAAGATATCCCACCCACTTCAGCTCTGGCTTCATTCACCAAGACATGAAGGAAACTCTTCCCCCTCACCTCCAAAGCTGCCCAAACCACAGTGCCATGTCACAACCTCTGCCCCCTGATAAAAGTGCTCCCATTTGAGACTCATGGATAATTTAGGCCAAGTTTATTAAAGACTAATTTTTTACCTCTGTGATGATTAAAGCCTAACCCTGGGTGCTGTGTCGTGTTAATAACTGCCTAATAAAGCCTGGTTTAAGGTTTCAAGCTGTGTTGGTGTCTTTGAAACATCTCACCAGATCTGCAGCTGCAGAAGGTAAAGGTTGGTATGGACAGAGGGACACAGAGATCCAGGGGTACCAGACAGAGGAGATGGAGCTGGAGAGCTTCACTCTGCTCCAGACCCTCAGGATCTGCATATTCTCCCAAAAAATGGAATGCAGGAGGAGCTCGTGTGCAGACAGCCAAGAGGTGCTCACAGGACATGGGTGGGATGGAATTTGAAGGCACAGGGGAAAGAGGGAAGGGTCAGGGAGCCTGTCATGAGCAACTCATGGTGACAAGGGAGCTCAGAGTCACCAGGCAAGCTGGGGAGAGGGTGGGACTGACACAGCACTGGCACCACGGCAGGCAGGAGTGACACAGCAATAGCACACGGGGGTTCCTTGGTGTGAAATGGAGCAGAAGGAGTCGTGACAGGGACACAAACTCAGGCACAAGCTCTGGTGTCACTGCTGGAGCTGCTGACCTCAAATACTGGGACAAGAAAAATGGCTGAACTCAGTGAAGCCCAGCATGGTCCCCAGAGATGGAACGTGACCTCAAATAATCCCATGTAAATTGGCTGACCTCAAGTAACCCAAATGACCTAAAGTAGCCCCAAATATGAACTGGTTGACCTCAAAAAACCCCCAGTGACCTAGAGTAACCCCACAATGACCTCTAGTAATCCCAAATATGAACTGGTTGACCTCAAATAACCCCCAATGACCTGTAGTAACCCCAAATATGAACTGGTTGACCTCAAATAATGACCTCCAGTAACCTCAAAGTGCTCTGCACAGAACAAGTTTGACCTCTAGTAACCCTTAATTGATTGAGCCAAAGTCAATGATCTAAAGTAATCATACAGTACAGAATGTGAATTTGTCCCAGGTAACCCCAAAAGATAATTAGTTGACCAAATAACCCCAACTAACCACAAGAGTTAGCCCTTTCCAGCTCTCTTGGAGCCCCTTTAGGCACTGGAAGGGACTCTAAGGTCTCCCCAGAGCCTTCTCTCCTGCAGGTGAACACTCCCAGCTCTCCCAGCCTGGCTCCAGAGGAGAGTTGCCATTTCCCAAGGGGTGTTTGGAGCAGGAGACGAGGGGAGGGATGGCTCAGCATGGAGCCACGAGGCTCTGAGCACCAGCACAGCCATCCCCCAACATCAGCCACCTGCTGGGCATCCCACCTAGAACATCCAGACAGCATGACCCACTCAATTAACAGGGAAAAAAAATCATTTTATTATTGACCAGAGAGAATGGAAGCCTTTGAAACTCCCCACCCAGCAGAGTTCTGTCCCCTCCACTGCTTCCAGCCAGGCTGGCTGTGGCCTCACAGCTCAGCAGTGTGTGACCACCAGTTCCTGAGCTGTCCACCAGCAGATTCCTGAAGCAAAATAAAGCTGGGATTGCAATTCCCCAGACTCTTTGTCAGCAACTTCGGAGTTTACAGATCTCAGACTTTTTGTGGGGTATTAATAATGGCAGGTGGCAACTTGAAGAATGATGAAATGAGGTGTGAGCTGCTCCCTTGACCCGAAAAGCAGTGTTGGTGGCAGACACAAAAGAATATTTGGACAGATTCACCTGCCCTTCAAAGTTCCTGTAATGCACAAAAATAGGTGTGGGGTAATTACTTTCTCTCCTGTACAAAAGACCTGGTTTAGAATTATATTCCCTGAATACAGCACTGCCTCCTTCTCCTCTCCTTACTATTTTCCACTCCTAATATCTCCTAGGTGCATCAGATTACTGGTTTGTGTGCACAAATAAACACAGAAAATCACTGCAATCACAGACACTCCACAGCAATAGGTAAACAGGGCAAAGATGCTATTTCTTACCTTTTTTTGTTTGCTTGTTTTGCATATATTTTGCATTGAGTCTCTTTTTGCAAAATTCAAATAATTTTAGTAAGACTCTGGTGTAGGTTTTCCAGAGAAGCTGTGGCTGCCCCTGGATCCCTGGAAGTGTCCAAGGCCAGGCTGGACAGGAATTGGAGCAGCCTGGGATAGGGGAGGGTGTCCCTGCCCATGGCAGGGGGTGGAACTGGATGAGCTTTAAGGTCCTTTCCAGCCCAAACCATTCTGTGATTCTATGACTTGTGTTTTAAGTGTTTTAAGTCAAGCAGTCTTTAAATATTGAATCAGAGCTCTTATTCTTAAAGACATAATTGCTTTCCCTTGCTTTTATGTATTTAGTCTGAAGCTGCTGATTCTTAAGAGAGTGCACAATAAAGCATGAAAAGATTTTATCTCTCCATAGAATAATTGGTTTAAATCACATCTAACACTTGGTATTTTAACTTATATTCAGTTAACTCACCCAATCATCAATCATAAAGATTACATACTAGAAATGAGACCCTGAACATCAGAAAAATGCAAATGGCATCTTTTACAAAACATCTCCATCTCTCTTTACTCCAATAGCTCTTCAATGGAAAGGACCAATAAAAAGTCCCAGAGCTCCCAGTTTGGATTGGGGACTTGAGGGAATTTCCCTTGGTGACTGAGGGACACTGCATTTGAAAGAGATGTAAAGACCCAGGTTTGGGTGATTTTTCCCTCTTATCTCCATATATAAACAGCAAGTACAAAATGCAAAAAGTGAGCCCAGAGATGGCGTTTTTAAATAAAAGAATTAGCAGATTTCCAGACACTTGTGCTCCTCTCCCCTCTGGCAAAGGCAGGCAGAGACTGTCCAAGAAACACCACGCACATACCCAAATAGAAGCTCTCCACAGAGCCCATCTTTTCCACTCTCCCCTGGGTTTCCAAGAAGCTGCAGTTTTGACTGACAAGCTGTTGAATTTCACAACATGTTCACAAAATGAAAAAAGCGCAATCCTTGTGGAAGGATGGAATCCCACCTGCTTAAATTCCTTTTTGAGCTCACTCAGTGGCCTGCTCCTCACTGCTCCAGTGTGTTTCACTCAACACACTCTTGAAAGATAGGGGGGGGAAATAGAATATGAATGTTTGCCTTTTTCTCCATTAAACTTTACAAAATTAAAATAGCTTTAGGTGTCCTGAGCATTCACACAGTAATATCCAAAGGATGTGCCAATATCCTTTCAAAGACAAATTTAAGCTTCAGTGTTGGTGCAGGTAAATACCCACATGAAAACAAATAGAACATTTTAACTTTTCCTTCCTAAGGCTTTGTCTTGCTGTCTCACTAGTAAATATTTTCCTAATCTTCCTTATATAAAACAAGGATTAGAGGAATATTAGCGTTTCACTGAACAGACCATCACAAACAGGAGTTGCTCCAAGGCAGGGAGAGTTTTACAAACTCAGCCAAAGGATTGGGCTCCTACATCTCACTTTTTATGACTGATTTTTAATATCCCTGCTTTGCCATCTATGGGATCACCTCTAATGCACTTCATTTCAACCTGCTGGATGTGTTTGGGGGATTAATTTATTAAAACAGGGTGAAATTTTGTTTTCTCTGCATGTTGGCATCAATTAATAACCGGTGTGAGAGGAGTGCTGTGCTGTCATGAGAGGAGTGTGTAAAGAGCAACACTAACTGCTGAGAGAAGGAAAAATGCCTGAAAATATATGCTGTCAAATAAAAGATAACCATGAAATAACTTGGAACAAAACCAAAAATCCCTAATCCAGTCTCCTTCTGAGTAGAGGGAGTTACCTGGACTGCAACATTTTCTTTAGTCTGGTTTCAAGTCACGGAAAAAAGAGACTTAGGAGATGTTATTTTGTCTCACATTAAGGTAAGAGCAAGTGTAAGAGTTCCAGCAGGACAGGGAAACAGAAAAAAAAATGGATATTGGGGGAACTTAACTGGAAACTTAACGTACTTACTTATGTACTAATTATCATAAATACAATATTTACTATATAGAATCATCAAGGTTGGAAGAGACCTTTAAGAACATCAAATCCAATCATCAGTTCAGCACTGCCACTGTAACTCCTAGGCCTTATATATATAAAATACCTCATATATTGTAAGTTATAGTTTGTACTATATAAAACCTAATAATGTATATTAGATATTCTATAATTTATATACTAGGAGCATAGTAAATAATATATAATAAAGAACAATATGCTTATATATAACATGTCAACAAGACATACTACTAAATATATGAATAATATTGTTTCCATACCTATATATTTGTATTATTGATATATCATTATGAATAATCTATACAACATTATATTTGTATTATATTACATTATATATAGTCTACTATGCTGTACTGCATTATACTGGATATTGGGAAAAATTTCTTCACCAAAAAAGTAAAACACAAGAGAACAGACCAGAACAGTGGAGAGAGAACAGAACCCAGAGCTTTGGCCCAGAGAGAAGAAATTAGGCCTGGGCAGACAAGAACTGGTTGGAATAGAAAGGCCTGGACCAGCCCCTACCCAAACACCACAGACTGGCACTCACCAGCCCCAAACACAGCCCTGCAGCACACAACAGAACAGAGTGGAGCAGAACACACCTGAATGGGCTGGCCAGCCCACAACCAAAGCCAAAGATGTGCCCCTCCCACCACCCCACATCACCATAGCCCCCAGCACAGTGTAAAGCTCTGCTCCCACTGTCCATCCTGATGCTGCCAAAGTCCAAGCTGGTGTGGAAACTCCTCTCCCTCTCAACATCTCCTTGAGCCTGCTACCTGACTTCCATCCTCTCCCTCCTGCTGGAGCCCAGCTGGGAGAAGGCAGACCCCTGCTGTCCACCCTTGGATCGTGACAGCTCTCTTGTCTTGTCAGAATGCCAAAGGGATGAGCCACAGGTACACAGCACCTTCCTCAATGACAGCTGTCCTTGATGACACCTTCCTGCCCTGGCCACCTGAATCACCCAGGCTGATGTCACCCATCCTGCTACTGCCAGTACAACATGATCATGCTGGCAAGTCCTGCCAGCAGCAAACAAGGGAACACCCCCACACCATGCACCCGCAGCGCGTTCTCACCTGTCCCAGGCTCCCTCCTCACCCCTGTGCTCCAG